TTTTTTTTTTTTTTTTAAAGAGCGAGAGAGAATAGGAGAGGGAGAGGGAGAGAGACAGTCTTAAGCAGGGAGCAGAGAGACAGTTTGGGTGTGGTGCCCAACTTGGGGCTTGATCTCAAACCCTGAGATCATCCCCTGAACTGAAATCAAGAGTCAGAGGCTTAACTGTGCCAGCCAGGCACCCCTAGAATTTACTTTTAAAAAGGACATTGAGGGGCACCTGGGTGGCTCAGTGGGTTAAGCCTCTGCCTTCAGCTCAGGTCATGATCTCAGGGTCCTGGGATCGAGCCCCACATTGGGCTCTCTGCTCAGCAGAAAGCCTGCTTCCCCCTCTCTCTCTGTCTGCCTCTCTGCCTAATTGTGATCTCTCTTTCTCTCTGTCAAATAAATAAATAAAATCTTTAAAATAAAAAATAAAAAGGACATTGAGTGAAGAGTCTCCCTTCAACATTCTGTATCCTTTTCCATGCAGTTCTTTCTGAGAGGGAAACAGAATTTCTTACGTATATATCCAGAGCTATTGTATGTATATACAAGCAATTATAAATATATTCTTTTAAAATTAAAAAATTTAGGTAAACATATTCAAATATTGAGATAATGGAATAATGAACCCCATCATATAGCTTCAACAGTTTTTAATACATGTCCAATCTTTTTTTTTTTTTTAAGATTTTATTTATTTATTTGACAGAGCTCACAGATGGGCAGAGAGATGGAGAGAGAGGAAGGGAAGCAGGCTCCCGGCCAAGCGGAGAGCCCGATGCGGGGCTTGATCCCTGGACCCTGGGATCATGACCTGAGCCGAAGGCAGAGCTACCCAGGCGCCCCAATACATGTCCAATCTTATTTATACCTTCTCAACTGTAGTGTTTTGAGGCAAATAGCAGACACTATATTGTTTTGTCAATAATTCTTCTTTATCCTTAAAAAAGTAAGTTTTTTTAATGTGATTACAATACCATTATTACACTTGAAATAATAATAATTTCTAAATATTATCAGATACCAAATTAATACTCATTTTCCCCAATTTTCTCATATTTTTCTTGGCAATTGACTTTTTTAAAACCAGGATTCAAGCAAGGATCAGACATACATTGTATTTGACCTAGATGGCTTTAAAAAAAAATACTGAGATACACCATAAAATTCATTCTTTTAAAGGACGCAATCCAGTGGTTTTTAGTATGTTCACAAGAATGTGTATTCATCATGACTATTTAATTCCGAAACATTTTCATCACCCCAAAAAGAAGCCCCATGCCCTTAACAGTTACTCCCCATTCTTCCCTCTCCCCAGCCACTGGCAACCACTCTTCTACTTTTCTCTGGATTTGCCTTTTCTGGACATTTCATGTAAATGAAATCATGTAGTGTATGGCGTTTGGTATTTAGCTTCCTTTCACTGTACAAAGGTCATCCATGTTGTAACATGTATCCGTACTTTTTACAGCTGAATAATCTTCCATTGTATGGTATGCTGCATTTTGTTTGTCTAGTCATCAGTTCATGGGCATTTGCGTTGTTTACACTTTTTGGCTATTCTAAATGATGCTGCTATGAACGTTCATGTACAAATTTGTGTGTGAGCAACTATTTTCAGTTCTCTTGGGTGTATACCAAGAAATGGCATTTCTAGGTCATATGGTAACTCTATGTTTATATGGTTGACTTTCTGAGGAATTGCCAAGCTGTTTTTCAAGCAGCTGTACCATTTTTACATTCTATCAGCAATATATGAAGGTTCCTGTTTCTTTTTTTTTTTTTTTTAAGATTTTATTTATTTATTTGACAGACAGAGATCACAAGTAGGCAGGGAGGCAGGCAGAGAGCGAAAGGAGGGGAAGCAGGCTCCCTGCTGAGCAGAGAGCCCGATGCGGGGCTAGATCCCAGGACTCTGGGATCATGACTTGAGCCGAAGTCAGAGGCTTTAAACCACTGAGCCACCTAGGCACCCAAGGTTCCAGTTTCTTTATTTACATCCTTTTAAAAAACAAAAACAAAAAACTGATTTATTTGAGAGTGAGCACAAGAGAGAAAGGGAGAGCGTGAGTGGGGGTTGGGAGCAGAGGGAGAGGGAGAAGCAGACTCCCTGCTGAGCAGGAAGCCTGATGTGGGTGGGGCTTGATCCCAGGACCCTGAGATTAGGACCCAAGCTGAAGGCAGACCCCCAACCCACTGAGCCATCCAGGCGTCCCTTTACATCCTTATCAACCCTTGTTATTGTCTTTTTTTTTTTTTTTTTTTTATTTAACAGAGAGAGAGATCACAAGTAGACGGAGAGGCAGCAGAGAGAGAGAGAGAGAGTGAGAGGGAAGCAGGCTCCCTTATGAGCAGAGAGCCCGATGCGGGACTCGATCCCAGGACCCTGAGATCATGACCCGAGCCAAAGGCAGCGGCTTAACCCACTGAGCCACCCAGGCGCCCCTGTCTTTTTTTTTTTTATTCTGTTCATTTTTGTGGGTGTGAAGTGATATTCCATTTCCCTAATGATGATGGCATTATGTACTTATTGGTCATTTGTATATCTTCTTTGGAGAAATATTTAATATTTACTCAAATCCTGAGCCTGTTTTAAATTGGGTTACTTGTCAGGCACCTGGGTGGTTCAGTGGGTTAAGCCTCTGCCTTTGGCTCGGTCATGATCTCAGAGTTCTGGGATCGAGCCCTATATCGGGCGCTCTGCTCGGCGGGGAATCTGCTGTTTCCTCTCTCTCTGCCTCCCTCTCCACCTACTTGTGATCTCTGTCTGTCAAATAAATAAATAAAATCTTTAAAAAATAAAAATTAAATAAATTGGGTTACTTGTGTTTTTAATGTTGAGCTGTAAGAATTCTTTATGTATTCTGGATACTAGACATTTGTCAGATAAGTGATTTACAAATACGGTCTTCTTACTGTGGGTTGTATTTTCATTTTCTTTTTCTTTTTTCCTTTTTTCTTTTCTTTTTTGTATTTTCGTTTTCTTGATCGAGTCCTTTGAAACATATAATTTTTAGATTTTGAGGACATATAAATTAGCTATTTTTCCTTTAGTTTGCTTATGCTTTAGGTGTCCTGTCTAAGAAACGATTGCCTAATCCATGGTCTTGAAAAGTTACACCTGTGTTTTCTTATAAACTTACACCTGTGTTTTCTTATAAAAGTTTTACGGTTTTAGCTCTTACATTTTGGTCTTTGATCCATTTTGCATTATTTTTTGTTTATGGTTTGAAGTAGGGATGCATTTTCATTCTGTGTGTATATCCAGTTGGTCTGCACCATTTGTTGAAAAGGCTGTTTTTACCAGACTGAATTGTCATGGCATTTTTGCTGAAAATCAGTTAACTAACATGTATGGGTTTATTTCTGGACTCCTCTCTTCAATTGATCTGTCTTTCTTTATGCCATTACCACACAGTCTTGATCACTATAGCCTCTAGGAAGTTCTGAAATTGGGAAGTGTGAGTCCTCCAACTTTGTTCTCTTTCAAGATCGTTTTTTGTTATTCGAGGTCTCTTGCATTTCCACATGAATTTGGGGATCAACTTGTCAATTTCAATTAAAAAGGCAGTTGGGATTTTGATAGGGATTGCTTGAGTCTATAGGTCACTATGAGAATATTGCCATCATGTGGCATTTTACAATAGGCTGTTACATCTTCTGAGTCTCATTTGACCTATAAGAAGTTCTTTCTTTTTGTATTTTTTTGTTTCCTTTGTTTTTGTGAAGAAACTGGGTCTTTGTCCTGTGCAGTTTCCCATACTCTAGATTTTGCTGATCGCATCTCCACAGTGTTCCTTTGTTCCTCTTTTTCCTGTAAAATGGTAACTAGATCTAGAGCTCAATTAATTCAAGTTGGTATTTTGGCCAGAATACTTCATATGTTGGTTTGTACTTCCCGTCATCATTGTTAGTATTTTAATTAACACACTCTTCTGTTCATTGCTTAATTCACTTGTACCTTGGGGATCATTACATATCTCTACACAAAGAGCTTCATTCTTTTTATAAGACTGTGTAGTATTCCATTATATGACTGCACCATAGTATAT